TTGTTTTGTTTTGAGACAGAGTCTCACTATGTTGCCCTTGGTAGAGTGCTATGGCATCACAGCTCACAGCAACCTCAAACTCTTGGGCTCAAGCAGTTTTCTTGCCTCAACCTCCTGAGTAGCTGGGATGATAGGCGCCCACCACAATGCCCAGCTATTTTTTGGTTGCAGTTCATTGTTGTTTAGTAGGCCTGGGCCCGGGCTCAAACCCGCTAGCCTCAATGTATGTGGCCGGCGCTCTACTCAGCTACAGGCTCTGAGCTAGGTAAAGTCCCTCTTATAATTGTGTCCTGCCCCCAAAAGGTATGTCCCACACCGTCACTCCCCATTCCCCCTCCTTCCTTCTCTCTGCTCTTCCCTTCCCTCTCTCTGCTTTTCCCTTCCTCCACCCCTTTCTCCCTTCCTTCTCTCTACTCTCCCCTTCCCTTACCTCCCTCCTTTGGTGCTCGGTCTAAAAAGTTTCTTTGCTAATGACCACCCCAGTGTTGGTAGCGGTAGGGACAGGATGTTAGAAAAATAGAATTCAGAGGAGACCCATGAGTAGGAATGCTACTTGTCATAACATTTTCTAGAAAAGAAATAGACCCAAAGGAACCTCTTAAGGATGGTAAGAGTTCTCTATGAAGGCAACAGTTTTAAAACTTCCTCAAGTTTATTTTTATTTTGACTAGGCCCAGGTCACCTTCCCTTCCTTCCACCACACCCTAAGGAGTCAGACTGCATATAGGTTCCCACCATGGCCATCTACCACAGTGTTTAATCTTTCCTGATCTTTCTTCTCCATTAAAACTCCATTAGTCCTATGTCCTGGTCCCTCTCTTTTCCTTTATGTTTTCTTATTGAACTTAATGATGTTGAGCTGAGGTATGTATTATCCATCCCAGACAATATTACTAATGTCAAATAAGGGGAAAATTTAGACAGAGGACATTTTAATCACCCTCCAAACAGAGTTAAGCACTTAAGAGCTGGCTATGTTGGCACCACCAAGGAGCATATTGGCACAGTCCAAAACCTTTTGCTTTTATACAAAAACATGGGTACATGGTAATAAAGAAGGATCTCTTCCATGAGACAAAAGAGTTGTGTCAGGAGGCCAAAAGCAGAAGACACTTCTAGAACCAGATTTCTTTCTGGGGATGGGACATTGTTCTAGTCATCTTCCTTCCAGACACCCAAGGCATTGAGAAGTGTATGAACAAGGTGGAATTGAGAGTAGGATGGAGACATGTGGCGCAGAAACTATCTAATAATGCTTTGTGCCCTAGTAGTGCTATGCTCCTGGTAGGGATAAAAAGATACTCCTAGATTAAATAAAGGAACACTCATTTGTTTGTGTTCACATTTGGCCAGTTGGAAAGATCACAGGTTTCCCTGTGTGTGATGAGCTGTTGTGATATAGAATTTGAGTGCATGTGTTCTGTGTGAGTGCAATACTATTACCAGTGAAGTGGAACTTTTGAGTTGATCCCGACTTCATAAATGATGACATCTTTATTTATGTTTTAAATTCTAGGCCTCTAGTACTTTTCTCATTCAATGAAGAAGAAAGTCTACAGGATGGTCCTTAAAATATAGCTTTCTATCAGTGGCCATTTAACTATAACCTGTATACTGTATCTTTATGGGACATTCTCTCGTTCAACTTCTTTACTTGGGCTCTGCTTATTATGAAAGTGATCAAAATCTCCTTTCTTTGTCTTTAGTTCTCTCTGCTATCAAAGAAGAAAAAAGGATTTTCTCCATTCTTTTTCTTTTTTTTGAGACAGAGTCTCACTATGTCTCCCTCAGTAGAGTGCTTTGGTGTCACAGCTCACAGCAACCTCAAACTCTTGGGCTTAAGTGATTCTTTTGCCTCAGCCTCCCAAGTGGCTAGGACTACAGGCCCCCGCCACAACACCTGGCTATTTTTTTTTGTTATACTTTGTCATCATGGTTTAACTGGCCCTTGCCAGATTCGAACCCCCCTACCCGCGGTGCATGTGGCTGGCACCATAACCGCTGTGCTACAGGTGCCGAGCCTCTCTCCATTATTTTCTCAATTGTTTTTGTTTTTTGTTTGGGGAGTTGTTTTGTGTTGTTTATTTGCTATCTTTCTCATAGAAATTGAGGGCAAATGGATGAGAGATGTCTTTTTATACATTTGAGTTATTATATTTCTGGTTTTACATGTCTCAGGCTTAGTTGCCCAACTATTCCCAAGCAGTTCAGTCTCATTTTGTTCATGATTGGCCTTTTCCAAGGCAACACATGGATTCTGTCTTGGTTATCAAAAACCTGAGAAATGCTTTATGTGGACTTTTTTCTTTGACAATGGAATTGCAGTGGGTGAGTGTGAGCAATGCTTAAAGCCTAAATAAAGGCTCTTGGTAAAAGAGCACATATGCTCTTTTTCCATAGCAACTTTATCTGCAAGATTAAGCATTCTGCTCTTGGTATAGTTAATAAGAAAAACTCTGTTCCTGTTCAGAGCTGTTTATCTTCCATTCCTGGAAGCTGTTTACTTTCATTCACATCATTGTGTTTTTTTTTTTGTTTGTTTGTTTCCTTCTGTCTTCCCAGGTGGCATTGGTAGGGTGGTCAACGGAGCCTTCATGGTGCTGAAAGGGCATCGATCTATTGTTAACCAGGTCCGATTTAATCCCCACACCTACATGATCTGCTCTTCGGGTGTAGAAAAGATTATCAAGGTGAGGTATCTTCCCCTTCTGTCCTTTTAGAGAAATTATTATAATTTGTAAACAGAGGAAACTAGACCAATGTATGTAGAACCTCATGTCTAAATAAACTAAAGGCCTATCAAAATTCTCGGATCTTGACATATTATAAAATATTAGAAGGTTGATATTAAAAAGTAGTTTAAAACTTTTCTTTCAGAACCATTTTTTCAACTATTCACTGGGCTTTGAAACAGAGGGCATCTTCTAGACACTAATTTGAATGCTACTGTTTCCAGTGGCTTGATCTTGGTTATGGTGAATTCTGCTTCCCAAACTTCATCTGGAGATTAGAATTGAAGCATTAATTGCTGTTTGAGTGTGACACAGGCATAACTAAGTGGTTTCCAGAATCATAGCTAAATTGTCTCAGGATTTATCAAAAAACTACCTCATGTACTTGTGAAATATTTTTAAAGCTGCAACAAAGGAACCCAGCCTAGTCTGTGTCCAAGAAAGGTAACCCACTCCTCCCTACTCATGTTCTAATTGCTAGTAACCCTTTCCCCACATGAGGAAGTAAGAAATCAGGGCAAATGAGGAATTATTGAAGATAAGCTAGATGATGTTCCTAGGAAAATTTAAAATTCCATAATTTTTTTCTTATTTTTAGTTTTTTTTTTT